CTCTGAAAAGTTACTCTGACCAGATCTGATTGCTCTGATATCGTCAAAGAAGTTGTCCAAGTCCCAGTTGTGGTTGCGCAACATTCCTTAAAACCACAGAGCTGATGTATTTTCCATGTGGCCTGTGATACTGCACTTTGTCAGCTATGCGACATGAAACATGGTAATTTGCCAAAGTAGAGAGAGCTGCTGCTCCGCATGTGCGGCACTACATCTGACCGTAGCTACTCGGAAAAAAAGAAGAAAAAAACGTCGCCGCAGAAACGTCACACGGTTGATGCAGTCATAAAAATCATCTGATCCAAAAAGTGAGTGCCTCAATCGATTCTGCTCGGGCTCCATCACCATTTCATTACAGCAGCAAACAGTGTGAAGATTTCCTGGCCAGATTTTAGGTCCATAACCCCTTAATCTAACTCAATTTCCGGCTCCTTTTGCTACATTGGTAAATTTGAACTCACAGATGGAGGACCTTGTGATTGCAGTGCACCGTGGTGGCTGAAACGGCCCTAAGCCCTGCTGCCTTCCTTGTACGAGCAGATCCGTATCTGCAGGAAATGGCAGATCGGACTCCCACATATTGCTTTTTAATGAACACGCGCACCGACGGGGCTCTAATGGGCTCACGTGTGACGTATCGTCCCGCACTGGTGATTTAGGACGGCGATATCAATCCCACATCACCCAACACCTCCTGCGCGGTTGGGCCTTGTCGCAGGCGCGATGCAGGGTCAAAAGGTCAGCGCGGCTTGCATTAGATTCTGGACGTTGTGGGTCTTTGTGTTGTAGTTGGATGGAATGAGGGTTGGTCTCTGGAACAAGGACAGTGTGGTCATGTTGAACTTAAAGCCTTTTTGGTGCAGCATTTCTTTAAAGCACTTTATTTAGACACAATCTTCAAAGATGAACTTTTCCTTTATTGTTTTTACACAAGATATTTCAGTGCTCTTAATTTCTCCGTGACAATCAGGATTTTACATATTTGTGCTCAAATCTGATGGCGGATGTTTTGTTTGTTGTCGATCATTCACACTTTAGTGACCAAAAGACACTTTGACATTATTTTCCTTGAGCAAAGTGCATTAGGAGATTAAATTGGACAATTGCCCTCCAGTTTTCGGAACACAGGCCTCCATGTGAGCCATTAACCTTTTTCTACCCACACTAGCTCGTCTTTAAACCTGATTAGCGGCTCATGGAGATGAAACACGCATCCACACAACCTCCCAACTGGACTCCCTCTCCAGCCCGCCTGCCTCTCTCACAAATCAGCTGTATCTTGCTGCCTCTTGGAGGAAGGAATGTGACACACAAAATATGAACTCACGCACCACGCACAACATGCAAGCTTTGGCATCACACGTAATGCATGATGTCGAGTTTGTTCATCTAGATGTTTGCATAAATGTCATTTTGTGGTGCTAAACAGGTTTTGAAACACATTGTTGAACAATGTTTTGAGGGGCCATTGGAAATATTAAAACATATAAATTAAAACATCCTACCAATAAAAAAAAAGACACAAAGCTCGCAGATTTGTGTCACCTCTGCTTCCGTCAAACGTCAGCAAACACAAATCTTAAGACAAAGCATCGAGGAATGGAGTGTAATTGCACGTGTGCTTAATACAAATTGGTCGTACGTTGACCTTTTTGAGACGATTTAGAGAAACGTCCCACTTCAGATGAGCATAAATCTGATTAGGAGAACCATTTATTTGGGTTCCCGTGCTCAACGGAGACCCCTTCCTGTTCGGCGCATGGCTCTGCCAATGAAGCAGATGAACCCGACCTCAATGAATGGCCAACAGCTGTGTATATAGAAGGAGTACATTTCCTCTCGCAGCGAAAAGAAGAAACAGCCCGTTTCAGTAAAACATTGAGTCATTTCCCAGGCATCAAACATGTAAGTGCAGTGTTTCTGATTTGCATAAATCCTCTAATACCACGAACATGTGCCGAGAATATTTCTCTTTTCCAATGAACTGTTGCATGTGTTTTTTAAGACGCTGTACAACCCTCTCTGTGGTATTCTACTGTATATTTGAATTTCTAAATTTTAGGTTCTTCCCAACATACCTAATTGAGCTCTGAAGTGGGCGACGCCATTTCAATTTGACTCAAAATGAGTTGGTTTTAGGAGATGAGGAGTTCCCCGGCTTGTGTGGAACTTCGCGACGCTGATCTTAGTTCAGGGCACGGAAAGAGTCATAAATTATATCCATGCAATTTCCACGTGTAAATCTTGTTTTTACTAGCTGCATCTGTTTCTGACCATGTTTTCTCTACGGAGCATCGGGCCTTTTTGGGGTTGTTTTGGGATAATACAAGCACACATTTTAACAGACTGGTTGTCCAAAAGCAAAAATTAATATTTTACCGAAAGTAACAGTAGTTTACCGCCACAGATTTCGGGTCGAGACACATAAAGCGATTACATTGGCAGTAAAGTTGTCTCCTCCAAACTGACAGCTCCCAAACCTCAGTCCATAAACCTGTCGAGAAATGATGTGCACGGCTGAGACACGCAGTCTAACTACTCGGTCGGCCCAGCAATGGAAACAGTTTCTGCATGACTTTATTCTCCCCGGTGATGTTTTGAGAGAACGAATGCACTGGACTAAGGTATGGTTTTCACATTTTCACAAAACAACAATCTGATGCAGAAGGTCCGGCTTTTTTTCTATTTGCTTTTGCCTCTGCAACATGCTCGCTTTCCCATGACATGCCCTGAGAATTTATTCAATATGCATATTAAACCCCACGTCATATTCGAAAGGATAATAAACACTTTGTGTTTGTGCGCCTTTAAACTTAATGCCCCAACTCGGCATCCCAGATTCCCAAAAGGCTCCGTCAGTGGAACCATAGTGCTGCAATTTGGATAAATGGCGAAGATGAAAGCGGAATTACGTTTTTACATGCCTTCTAGACTGCTTGCACATTTTTCTTAAGGCACAAATGTCTGGGTGTGTAATTACACACTAAATGCTGTTTTTCTTTTTTTGCCTCGGAAGTATGTGTCGCTGCACAAACATTAAACCCGACGGAAAAACGGGTAAGTTGCTGAACGATGGACTGGTGACAGCAGTGCTATTAAACCAATCAACGATCTTAATCAGCGCAAATGCAACACGGCCACTTTTCTCAGAGTGATTCATCAAAATTTTTCAGAGGCCTTACGGGGAGCAGTCAGTGGTCAAAAGTCACCAAATATATTTAGTACTGTGTTTATGGACACTTCAATTTAACTTTGTACTCCACTATATTTTGTTTAAAGCTGTACTTACTTTGTAGACATTTTCTTCAGAGCAGATGATCTTTTTATGGATTATGATTCCTCGTGGTTGCTTTAACTACCAAACTTAAATTAGAAATTAGAATAAAAAGCAGCTCCGCCTAAAGCAACTGCAATAACAACGTTCCGCTTACACACAAATTAATCAATTCTAATATAAAAGTTCTTAATTTTTACATGTGTAGATTTACTGAAGTGACATTTTTATTTCATTATTGAGTCTTTTTACTTTTATTCAAGGAGGGAATAAGGTATAAAGAAAGCAATAAAATAATATAAATATAAGGTAAAAAAAAACACTTGGAAAAGTGGAAAGAAACTTTGATTTAATTTCATTAATCTGATTTTAAATACTTTAACTATATAGTTGTATAATGGCGTAATAAAACTTTAACTTAAGTAAAGGACTCATACTTCTTCTACCTCTGGATAAAACTGTCCACTATTTAAACAAAAAGGGATGACCAGAGCTGTCTGATAGAAATAATCGCTATTATGCGTCAAATAAATTTAATGTGAATTCTGACCTTCCACGTTAATCATGTCTGACCCATCAGATAGATCTAGTGACCTCTGTAAGGTTCAGACGCAGAGGTCAGCACACTCCATAATTGTATTTAAACAGTTATGAAAGTTACAATAAAGTAATCGTGTGCTCGCATTTCGTGAAACTTTCAGCAAAAGTGGTCACAACACCTTTAAACATCACTATTTTATCCGTCTCCGACGAAGAAGACGCGAGAAGCCATTTTGACCTCTGTGAGGGAATGCCGGGTGTTCCCTCGCAGTTGGTTTTGAGAGGGTCGAGCATCTCCCCGGTGTCAGCGAGGCAGAGAAAAGACACGGGGTGTGATTTGTTAAATGCGGGACACCCCCTTGTATTGTTTGGACAACACGGGGGGACATCTGGCACTGGCAATGCAATGTTGAGGTCTCCATCCTCTTTCTCGAGCAGTGAGCTGTGCAGCATTGAAGCACTGCTTGCACATTCTCATGTTAATGCCCCCAAAGGCAGGAGCAGATGTGAAACGTTTGGTTCTGTTCTTGTTCACTTGTTAAGAAATAATGTCCCCCGTTATCATTATTTCACTTTTTTTGTTCTTCTCCGCGTCATAAAAACAAGAGTTCGCGGCGGAGGGCATCTTCTTTGGTGGCCCTGACTTCGGCAGCATGTGGAGAAAGGGTCCACCGAGAGTTTTAGAAGTTTTAGTAATCACGCTGTTACACTTGTGAAGTATGTATTTCAGAATTGGATTGTGTGTAAGTTTGTTGTTTTCACACCCCTGTGCTCTACAGTGTGAATATTGTGTAAATGTGTCAGTTAAGAAAGGAGATGTTGATGAATACGATTTAAGGGATGAAATAAATGTTGAAATGTGAATATTGGTCTGCAAACGTGTTTTTATCGGGTCTCTTTGTTAACTAATCGTACTTTAGTTTGTGTCCCTACAGCATTTTCACTTCACAACTTTATTGAAAGCACGAAAAGTCCCTTCTAATTTGCCTCCCGGTGTCCGGCGCGTCGGTGTCTCCGCCCACCTGCAACGTCATTGGCTCCTGTCCGCTCATCGCCTTATCTCATTGGCCAGAGAAGATGTGCTCTCGAGCATCCGCGACACGCGAGACAAGTTTAGAAGTCTCCAACGTGCGGGCGGACGCAGCAGGGCGCGCGGCGGCACCCTGCGCGGCGCGAGGAGAGAGAGGAGGGCGGTCACAGACGCACCTGCGCGCTGGTTTTCGGTCTCCGGGCGGTTTGGGCGTTTTCTTTCTCACCTGTGAGTGGCGGGTTTATTTAGTTTATTTTATTTATTTATTTTTGTTGTTGGAGGAGACTGAGGTTTTGTCCGCAGCGCACCGTGGATGAAGACCCACTCGTCGGTTCCTTCATGGCAAAACGACCCCACAGCGCGTGCCCAGCATGGCTGCGGCTCCTGCACCGACCACCCAGGGACCGGTATGGCTTTTAGCCGCATCCGTAAACTGGACCCCCCGTCCCGAGGCGTCTTCCGGAAAGCGGCGGTCATGCTGTGCTCCCTGCTCACCTGTCTCTTCCTCCTGCACTGCCTGGCGGACCGCTGCGGCACCTCGCCGGTCAGGGCGACCTCCGGCCGCGCCGCGGGGCTCCCGGAGCGGACTAAGCGGCTGGCGTACGAGCGCACCGAGGAGTCCTTCATCCTGGCGCCGCCGGATTTAGTCGCCGGGAGAGCGTCGCGCAGGTTCGCAGGTAAGCTCAGTCCGCTCGGCGAGGGGAGCAAGAAGCTGCCGCAGGCGCTCATCATCGGGGTGAAGAAAGGAGGCACCCGGGCTCTGCTGGAGTTCCTCCGGGTCCACCCGGACATCAGGGCCGTGGGAGCGGAGCCGCACTTCTTCGACCGCAACTACGAGAACGGGCTGGAGTGGTACAGGTGAATATTGCAATAATTATAATGATGGATAATAATTGGAGGCAACGGCTGAGAATGAAAACACCGTTTAACCCCGATTGCTCGTATTCAGCGCGCATGCAACAATCGGACTGTGGATACGCGTTTTTATCATCTTGCCTGAACTTTTGTTTATTTTATTAGTCATTAAATTGGCAACTCTTATTGTTTTTTTTTCTTTCCTACTTTATCGCTGATAAAGTTTGGTCTACGCAACCCAGAAATCTTTATTACACATCTCGTCTTGTGGTCGCTGCTGGATGATGAAGCCTGTTGATAAATATGCTGCATTAATTCTGCTTTCTTTGGATGTTATCGGGCTGCTCATTTTGCACATTTTTACGGGTTGACTGCCTTACAAGTGCCTTTGTTAGTCACCACAGTGGAATTACAGTTTGATTACACTGGAAAATAAAGACAAATCTTAACCATTTTAAAAGTTGTAATAAGTTGCAATTGATATTAATATCATACTTCGTCTGCTTGTGAAACTTCAAAGTTTGTGCTCATTTTTCAACAATTTAAAGTGTAAGATTTATTTATTATTAACACTGTAATATGTGTGTGTTCAGTAAAAAGACAACATTACTTAACATAAACTTTTATTAAGATCTACCTAAATATTTAGCATTTTCTTTAACGCATTTCATTGTTACAATCGGACAAATTGATAAGGACATTTTTGGTATTACTTTTAAAAAGTTGGAAGAAGAATGTATATACATAATAATATTCCGACTTTAATGTATATATATATATTCTAACTTTATATTTATATATATATATATATATATATATATATATATATATTTATATAATATAAGTAGATAGATATCTATATAATATAAGTAAATTGAATTAGTGCATTCAACTTTTTATATATATATATATATATATATATATATATATATATATATATATATATATATATATATATATATATATATCGTGATTTTCAAACATTCCAAACTTTGAAGGTCAAAAGCATTGTTTATCGACGGAGACAGTTTGAATCTCAATCAGCTTTTTTTGCAAAAGTGCAAATTTAGAGAAACGCACTCTGGCTCCCCTTCGACGTCCCCGCGAGGAGGAGTACGCCGCTGTAGTCGAAATGTGTGATTGATTTCCTCTGTCACAGCGAGTGTGTGTGAGTGAGCGTTGTGTGTTCACGGTTCCACGGGGCCTGTGGGGAATAATGGCCCTTCCCTCTCAGTGGTTCCCTGTCTAATGGGGCACTGCCGACATTGCCGCTCTGTTATTAAGAGGGATTACGTCCGTAATGAAAGGTTACCTGAGTGTCTCGGGAGGTATAATTCACCTTTTGATTGAGTTAACACCAAACAGAGCACCCTCTTAAAAGCCTGGAGACAAAACTTTTACTCTCCCTCACTGACACCCCCCCCCCCTCACTTCCTCACTTCCCCGAGAGACCCTCCTCGCTCGCCCCCTCCCGAAAAGCTCTGGCTCTCTCCCATCTCCCACTCACACACCTCCCTCTTTGTGCCTCCCTCAGAGTGAACATTCTCTTTTCGCCATCACTCTTTCACACCCTTCTGTTTACCTATTCATCCATTGTGGGGTTTTATATCCATGAGGGTCCCATCTATTGCGAGGAGTTGCCAAGATTCTCTGGAATTTGGGCCGTGCCTCCCAAGCAAGGACCTTAGGGCCCGGTTCCCCCTTAATACCGTCCTCATTTCAAACAGAAGGACCCTTTGAGTTGAAAAAGAGGAATAAACAACTGTTACGTCGGCGTGGCCCGCTCCGCGGGGGTCCAGCGCGTCGGTTCCCTTCGACAACGTCTGAGGGCCCTCCGGCTGATGGCGTCGGAGCGGAAGCTTTCGATTTGAGTCGCTCCCATCCCAAGTATCCGTCCGAGGTCGCACCGGAAGTGCTCGTCAAAAAAAAAAGAAAAATCCTCACGGAAATCAGGTCGATCGCATCGCGAAACAAAGAAAAGAAAAACAAAAATGTGGGTTTTGTTTGGTGCAAAAACAAGCCGAGGTTTTCTGTGACTAATCACCGTGTCCAATTTGCTTTAATTATGCGACTCCTTTCATCAGCGGCAGTGAATACGTTAAACGCAGCGGCTTCCGTCTCGGGAGGCTCTTTGTTTATTGTCAAGGCCGATGAGTGTCCTGAATCAGCCGTCTCCACGTCCCTATGGGAACGTGCGCTCTACTGTAACACCTCTGAACACTTAATCTGACGTCTCCAGCCTCCTCTTCCTTTTTCAACTCACAGATGTCTGAAAACTCTCCTCGTCTGGCTTGTTACGGGACTTTCCATCAAACGCCACGAAAAAGAAAAAAAACAGAACTCAGTCTCACACCCGATGCAGAAAAGTCTGTGATTTATTGTGAAGGATAGACTTTCCCGTTTTGATGGCGCGGTTGTCAGAGCATGACACATTGGTAGCTTTAAACTTTTAACTCCGCTTTAATGTTTCCTAAGACCCTAAATACTTTCAACATCTGCATTTATTCAAATCCTGGTAACAACTTTTATGTATTTTTTACTTTCAACTTTTTTTTTTTTTGTTCTACTTTCTACTAAAAACCTGATTTTAGCTCCCCGAATAAACCGCCGCTTTGTGTCCGGAGACTTTCAGGGAATTCGGGCTTTTTGTCCCGAACGGGAAACCGACACCCGGCACCCCCGATCGGCCCGCCACTCAGTGTTACGTTTCACCGCAGATTTCTCAGCGGCGTGTACGTATAATCACAGACAACCTGTTAGGCTTTTGTTGTGGAAATGGACACTCGGAGCGAACAAGGAGGTCAAGCACAAACACTGTGAACCGGAGCAGAGGGCCGTGTTGTGTTTTCGGCCTACTTGGGTTACCGTGCGCCCGGCTTTCACCTGTCCGGGCCCCGGGCCGCACTTTGGGTTTGGTGTCTGCAAGCCGGTGGGATTAGCCCTCGCCAGATCCCTTAATGGGTTAATTATCCTTCATAAAAACATGCGTGACCCGTTAAACACGAGGGCAAAGCGACCCCGTCCCACCCACCTCAACCCCGGACTCCGCCACACACACACATTTATCCCAAAGCGGACAAACACGGCGGTCTTCGTGTCGGAATATACGCATTCGACGCAACCGGGCCGACGGCGTGCGCTCGGCTTCGGCGCGCCTTAAAAAGGGCACAGCTTCAGACAAATTAATTAATTAAAACATTTAAAAAGAAGCATGGCGGCCTCTGGTTCAGAGAATAATTTGGGTCAAGTTGATCGGAGTTTGCGTATCCATTTCAGCTCCCACTAAAATGTCACAGCCGCCCGCGATAAAGCAAACAAAAAGAGTATTCTCGGCGAAATAGGGGTTTCCCTCTTCATAAAACTGGCTTTATTTGAAAGGACATTCTGTAATGGTAATGAAAAGTGACTCTGGATCATAAAAGCAGTGACCCGGCGGGGATTTAGTTAGAAAGCTGACGATCTGTTCTGCGCCACACGTCGGCCTGCGGGGGCAAGACAAAGTCCTTTTCCCTCTTTTTATGTTACGCAAATCCAGATGTAAATGTGTGGAGTAACATTACGTACCACATCTGTGTTTAAATTCCATAAATGCCGTTTTCTTTTCTTCTTCGCCGTTGTTTTGCATTTCCTCCCCCTTCATTAGGCTACCCGATAGGGTAAGCAAACAAAAGCCCCAGAAAAATAAAACAAAAGTAAAAGTAAAGCGTGCTGACAGGGAAAAGTTGCTGAATTCCCATCGTTTCGAAACGAGGCCGTCGTCCACGTTTCTCATTCGCTGGCTGTGTTCGGAGTGTGTGTCTATCAGCCGGCTGGCACGGTTTAAACTCTGGCCTTGGTCCGGCGGACCGGTGGAAAGCATGACACGGCTCCGAAAATGGGAGAGGCTCGAAGTTCAATGGCGAAAAAATGACAGTGAAGAGTTTGCAGCTGAAGTGCCTCTGTTACAGCCCGCTGTTGGTGTTGCGTTGTTTTTACCGCGCCGGGTTTTGTCACGTCGGAACCGCACGGCAGCCTGAGCTAGAAGCCGGGTTTAACTGCGTGCGTCTGTGTTCATGTGAGCACGCAGACCCGTAATAGTTTCCAGCACCCTGTACACCAACTCGATAAATATCTCGCTGGCCTGTCTGGATTTATGAAACCATATGGGCCGAAAATATGAATTATTTCTTTTGTTGCTGGTGTCGAGTGTGCAAACTCTTAAATATGTGTCTCCGAGGATTCATTAATGAGGCTTTGCTGGGAGCCATTTGTTTTAGTCTCCAAGACACAGTTACGGTTTTTAAAATATACTCCACCCGTTTCCCCTAATTGATCCCCCGATTGGTTCCGCCTGAAAGTACCGAGCAGCGGGCGACATATTCCTAATGGTGCTGAGGGATGGCCTTGGAACGTCATTTTTTAAAAACTATTTAGACCGGCTTCGTCATGAACCAGGATGCTGTCCCATAGCGCCTAAATGGTGCAACGAGCTCTGCAGTGACATCAGGACCGCAGCAAGTCTACAGCTTCCGACGCAAACTAAAAGCACACCTCCCACGACTGTACCAGCACTTCGTAGTTTAACTTTCCTCACAAAATTGTACTTTCTTGATTTTCTTATTGTTCTGGTTCTGCTTCCCTCTTGGTTGAATGCAGGCTGGCTAGCAGCAACATCTAGTATATATTCATTAAACCTCTCAATGCTACACAGAAGAAGGATGGAGTTTAAATGTAAAACCGAAAAAGAGATAAAAATACTAAACCTAGTGGTGTGAAGAAAAAGATCAGTTGAACTACATGTGCAAACAGCAGGTTTGCCGATGGCAGGTGGAGTAGGTGGAGAGGTCACGGTCGGGGGGTCGGGGAGAGCGCGCACACACAGCGGACGTAACGTGATCGCCGGAGACCTCCTGAGCGTGAGCCGCCTTTGGATTGTGAAAGTGATTATCGGGGAGTGTGATTATAAAAAACGGGGCGCTCACCTCCTGCCGAAGGCATGCAACCCGCCCTGCCAACCCCTTGAC